CGCGCCTGGTCTGCCCGGCTTTGGGTACTCGCTCCCCCTGTGGGCTCAGACTACTGGTCGGCAGGGGCCCGGCGTGGGCTAACTTCCAAGCCGGCCACTGGCTCCTCCAGGAGCCTCTGCTGGTTTCAAGTTGCTAGGTGGCGCCAGAGATCTCTCCTAGAGCCTTTGGGGAGCTGTTTTTTTTTTTTTTTTTTTTTTTTTTTTTACCCCGTGCGACAGGAAACAGAGTGGGAATGGTAGGGTAAACCTCTACGGCTTGGGGTGCTGTGTCTGCCTTGTGCCCCACCGTCGTGGAGAACCCACGCCCCGAATTTTTTGCCCCGGATCTCAGTTCCAAAGCCCTCAGGTCCAGGACACGGGCTGTAGCCCAGTTCAGTGTCCACAGAATGGCGTCTTTTGCACCCTGCTCCCGTGCCTGGGTGCCTGATTACTGGATACTCAGTGAGGGACTTTCACCTCAGTGAGGGTCTTCGTGCACGTCTCCCCGCATGCCTAGGTCGGAGGCGCGGGGACCTGGGCAGCCGCGATCCCAATCCGCATTTGCTTTTCAACCGTGCTGCTTTTCCGTGCTATCCCGATCCCGATCCGCGTTTGCTTTTCCAGCCTGCTGCTTTTCTGCGCGATCCCGATCCCGATCCCGATCCGCGTTTGCTTTTCCATCGCGCTGCTTTTCCGTGCAAGCTTACCAGCTGGCCCGGGGCTGTGTGCTGGTCCTGGCCTCCTCCTGGGGGGGAGGGTCTCTGTTTAATGGCGCCCGGAGCTCACCTCTGCGGCGAATCCTGCAGGGTTCTCCGCAGCTCCTGTTCACGGGGTGTGGTGGCTGCAATAGTTCCTTTCCACTCACAGTCCTGCTTGCTGCGTCGTTTGTTCTTGTTGGTCGTTTTAGTTTGTTTTTTTCCTCCTCTCTGCCGGTCGGAGAGTGCCGACTCTGTGGGTGGGGGAGGGGAGCAGGGTTCTGTGCTTTCCTCCCTTCTAGTCCTCTTTTATGGCCACTTTCTTCTTCGGGTAGTTTGCTGGAGTCACCCGTTTATCTTCCATGTCCCAGTTCTCACTGGGACCTGCCGCTTTTCCTCCCTATTAACTTTTTTTAATGGGAGATCTTATTCGCAGTGTCTCCTCTCCGCCATGTTGCTCCGCCCTCTTTGGATAGCTAAATTTTTATTACAAAGTATTGGCATGTAGATTTAGAATCAACAGCCAACAGATTTTTTTTTTTCTCTCTTGGCACAGTTCTTTTCCTTTTGGCCTTAGCTCACCCTACTCTGATTTACCTATTTCATTCTACTTCTTACTCTGTTCAGATAGTTTCTAGAGTGACTCACTACTTAAATGAAAAGTTCTTTATTTTTATAAGAGTCAGCCAGTTCATTGTCTTGAGACAGTGTAGATTTATGTATCCAGCTGTTTCTTTTTTTTTTTTAATAGAGGCATGTTTTATTTATTTATTTATTTATTTGTTTGTTTGTTTGTTTTGTTTATACGTGCACTGAGTACAGTGAGAAGCGCGGGAGGGTGAGAGAATTCACCAGAGCCAGAGCAGGGAGCAGAGCAGGCAGAAGGACCGAAGTATACTGCTGAGGGGAGCAGCGGGCGGCAGGAGAGGTCTGCGCGCCATGTGGGACCCTCCTCTGGTGGCCGGGGAGCAGCCGGGGATCGAACCGGCGCTGCAGAGGCCGCGGGCAGCTTCACAACCCAGCGCTCCACTGCTGCGCCACCAGGGAGGCCCTCCAGCTGTTTCTTTAACAAACACATTTGGTTATTTTAATAGCTACCCCAAACTCAATATGATTAACTGAATTTGTAATTCCTTTCCCATCTCCCTTTCCTTTGCCTCTCCCCCCCCCCGCTTTTTTTTCCCCCATTTCAGAAATGGCAATTCTACTACTCTGGTTCCTTAAGTCTGAAAATGTGTGGTCATCCTTGGTTGTTCTCTGATTCTCATATTCCTTAGCTAGTCAACCTCAAAATCCTATCAGCTATTCCTTCAAAATCTATTGATAAAATTGGACCACTACTTACCACCCACACTGCCTCCATTTTGGTCTATACCACCACCATCTCTTGCCTGGATTATTGTTAGTCTTCTAATAGATCTCCCTGCTTCCAACTTTTATCCCAACAGCTATTTCAATAACACAGCCAGAGGGATTCTGTAAAAACATAAGTCAGGTATTGTCACTCCACTGCTTAAAATTCTCCAGTGGTTCCCCATCTCACCTAAAGTAAAAGCCAGAGTCTTTGAGCTGGCCTAAAGGCTGTAGATTGGATTTTGCTCTTGGATCTCATCTCTTTCCTTTTCCTTCTTGTTCACTCTACTCCCACTCACACTTGTCTTTCTGGAACATATCCAGGATTCTTCTGTTTCAAAGCATTTGTAGTTATTTCCCCCCGGCCCCAATATTTGTATGGCTCATACCTTCATTTCATTTGGGTCTCTTTTCAGATGTTCTCTTATTAGAGAGACCTTTCCTGATCACGTATAGCATACCCCATCACTTCCTCTCTTTGCTCTTCTATTCTATATCTCTTTCACAATGTTTATCATCACTAACTTTGTTTTTTGTTTGTTTGTTTGTCTCTTTGCACAGGAAATTAAGCTTCTCAAGGGCAACAAGAAATATCCGTCAATGGTCTGGCCAGGTCCTTTTCAAGGCAATGAAGATACAAAAGTAAACACAAAAGAGAAACAATATACATATGGCATTTCCATTCTTGTATTATATAAAGTATCTTTGATCAGTAAATATTTAATGACTAGTGAATAAATACAGCATTCACTCAGCAGAGAACAGTAATTGTTCAAAAGTAAAGGAGACTTGAATTGGCTCATCATCCCTTAACTCAATGGTTAAACATCTAAATAGTTCTCCAGCCTCTCAGGTGAGACTGAAAATATAATCAAATTCCAGGATTTGATTCCTTGGATTCCTCCCAGCTATACTGGTTAAAGAACAATACCTGGGATTGCAAGATAAATTTGCTATTGGTACAAAGTGACTAGAATCTAGTGATTGACTAGACTATAAGACTAGAAGGAAATCCGATAAATACTGAAAGTTAATAAGAGATGCTTTCACCTTGACCAGACAGAAAATCTGTTTTGAATGAAAACAAAATACTATGAGGAAGATCAAGTATCAGAGATGGTGGTGGTTGATATAGATAAAGTCGTTTCAGAGAAAATTGTGGAGGACAGATAAAGAAAACAAATTAGAAGCTAGTAGACTTCTTACTTGGAGAGGAAGAAAAAACCATGACCAATACAGAAAGTGATATTGCTTTTATCACCTTTCTCTTCTCAGTAACCAGGGAAAAGGAAAGACTCGGTGGTATGGGAGTAGCCTCAACAGAGGAGTGAAAGGTGGAAAGACCTACATGCACCAGGGAGTGAGGCATCAGAGGTGGAAAGGGACTATGACTCAATTCTGATGTCACATAGCCTTCTGAAGACTTCTAGGAAATTGATGGCCAGCAGTTTGTGAATAATGGGTCACCTTTAACTCATGGACCACATTCCCTCGGTTTGAACTTGGTGATCAATTGTATGCAGAGTGTCTTCTCTAGAAAAGGACCCCATAGGCTCAGTTATCCATTCAAGGCCTCAATGCTACTGCCACCTGCATTGACTAGAAAACCTGACCTATCTTTTTTCTTACTTTCTGTTTTTGCTACAGAGTGCTTGTTCTGTGATCTTTTTCTGACTTTATCTAGTTCTGTTTCTTCTTTTTTTTAAAAAGATTTATTTATTTATTTATACAAGCACTGGGTACAGTCAGAAGTGCAGGAGGGTGAGAGAATGCACCAGAGCCAGAGTGGGGAACAGAACAGGCAGACTGACGAAGAAATACACTGCTGAGGGGAGCAGTGGGCGCGGCAGGAGAGGTCTGTGGCGCTATGTGGGACCCTCGCCCATGGCCGGGGATGTAACTGGCACTGCAGAGGCTGCGGGCAGCTCCGCAACCCAGTGCTCAACCGCTGCGCCACCAGGGGAGGCCCTAGTTCTGTTTCTTCTTGACCCTACTGAAAATGTCCTGGCCCCATTTCTTTAGTTGTTCATGCCTTCTGGAACTTCTTCCATCATTGGCCCTTACATTGATAAATGTCAGTTTAAAAATCTCATTTTCATCTTTATAAAGTCATACTGCTTTGTAACCCACCAAACATATACCTTTGGCAGATATAGCCAGACACATATTGTCTTTGAATCCAGGTGGCTTTGCAGCAGCTCGGAGCTATGCATTGTATAAACCCCTGTGGCAAAGAAGTAGCAGTCTATCAGTGGACAGAGTGATCTTGAAATGGAGTGACTCAAAGATCTTGCCCAGGAGCTAGCTCAACATTTTGTTATGTCCCCCAGAATACAATGCCATTTAACTCAAATTTGTTTCATCCTCAGTAGGAATGATTTTCCTAGCACATCATAATCTAGCTGAAGGGGCAATCAACACAATCATCTTTACATTACAAATACCAACAATTTGCCAAATACTAGGCTAGATTCTGGGGTTATACAAAGAGAAATTAATTCCTGCCCTCAAGGAATTCACAAACAAGTTCTAGCAGCCCTAGTTCATATCTGAGCATGATAGCTGATACCAACATTGACACAATTATCATTGGAATTAGCACCCTATGTAAAGGCTAGCATGGCACAGTGCTCTGTCAATTCTAAGAATAGGAATGAATCCTCTTGGTGGCCTTAGTAGATGTGGGATGTTCCCAGGAGAGATAAGGTCCTTATGGAGTGTGATCTTAAAAGAAGCACATGTTACCACCATCCTCACACATACTGTGAAAGTACTAAACGTATCTGAGGTTGGAGGAGAGAGGATCCTTGCATTGTCAGTTCTATGTTAAAGGATTCATAGGTGTATTAGGCCTTCTTCTGTGACCTTGGCTCTGTGGACAGCATATGCAGTGGTGAGGCACGCTTGAGAAGGTAGTTCTCAGAGGGGAACTCATTCACTGAAATGTGATAAAGGATCACCCAGTAGACTTACCATCTGTTCCTTCACTGCTTTTGCTTCTTTTATTGCGGCGGACATGCCTACTTTCCTCTTCGGAGTATGACTTCTCTTCAGGGAAGAAGAAATTCAGAAGGGCCATCTGTAAAAACAACAAATGGATGAGTCAAAGGCTAGTAAATCATGGCCAATATGAAAAACTAGCTTTCCGTAGACAGGTTACCTTCACCTTAAGTTCAATGTGTCTAAAGCTTGAACCCATCTTTTCTTCTACTGTATAAATATTGTCATTTTCAATACCATTATTCCAGTCATGTGGGCATGAGATTTTGGTTAATCTCTGAATCCCTGCTCTTCTGCCCCAAATATGTAATGAGTAATCCTGTAAGTCCAATTTCCTCACATAGTACTAGGGTTCAGAGAGCCTAGACATGGATTTCTAACTTCCCTTACAGTATTGCTGGTATCTGCCAGGGGTAGACTTAAGTCTGCTACACTCTCATGGACTTCATTATCTATGATTTCCCATATTTTTATTTGTGTTGAACTTTTGGTTTGTTCCAATAATGCTTTATGTACAATTATGATTGGATGGTTCTATTTATGTCAACACATTTATGGGAGCTAGTTATGACAAAGAGCACAATTATCTTCTCCCTTTCCTAGATTCCAACAGCACTTGCAATCTATAAGACTCATTTTGGTACTTGGTCGTCTACTGTCTTATGATGCTTTCCATAATAACATACAATGTTTCATGGGCCTGGTTTCACTAATGATAACCACATATCAGACATATATTTGCTGGACTGAATCATAATCCTTCAGCATGAATGCTTCTTGTGGTTTATTTTGTTTTAAAGATTTATTTATTTATGCATACAAGAACTGGGGTAAAGGCCAGACGTGTGGGGGGTGAGAGAGTTCACCAGAGACAGAGTGGGGAACAGAATAGGCAGACTGACTGACATAGGCAGACTGCTGAGGGGAGCAGCAGGAGAGTTAGGAGAGGTCTGCTGTGCCATGTGGGTTGTTCCCTGGCCAGGGATCGAACTCGTGCTTCAGTGGCTGTGGATAGCTTCATTGGTTGCATCTTAACCCCTTGTGCCACCAGGGAAGCCCATCCTTTGTAGTTTAAAAAATGTTTTTGAAGTAAACAGTGGATGGAGTAGTAGGACTGAGAGTGATTCTAATCACGACTGCCACTTAGTTGTTTAACCTTGGGCAAGTTACTTAAGCTTTAATCTACTCTTTAGTAAATATGTATAATAACACACTTTGTTTGTAAAGCAGTTGTAAGATTAGCACTGTACCCAGCATGTAATAAGTGTTAGTTTATTACTATTATTAAAATTAATCTTCAAATAGACCAGTTAGTTTGGGGGTTAAAAAAGAACAAATGAATCAGCATTTTCATCCTCATATTATTCAAGAACCAAACAATTTCAGAATCTTCCTATCTGCTGCATCTAATATTAATCAGCAAAAAAATAGGTAGGGTCAAAAAATGTTCACATTCTATACAAACTTTCTTCAAAACCTTATGTTTTAGGGGTAAAAGGCTCTTTCCATTCTATCTGGTGGCAGCCATCAGGCAAGCCAAGAGGGGTGCATATAAGTACATTCAGCAGCTATCAGGGAGAAGCTGTCTGATATGCTGTGATGTGATTTCTTGTCAGGGTTCACTGCTAGCAGTGCCTGCAATTCTCAGTGCTCCTTAGGGAAACTCCCCACCCCAAACACCTGATTGATAAAATGCACAGAGATACTAGGCCCAACAAGCTTATGTTATATATAGGATTTGTGTGCACCATGGTGGCTGCAAATGTTTAATTCCTAGGCGTGTAACCTATAGGAAGCCTGTCTATCATGGTGTTGACCAGCTAAAGTTTGCTTGAAGCCTTTAGTCTCTTGCTAAGGAGTGAGTTCGATGCCATTGTGGGATTCTGAGAGTCCTGACCTTTTACTGGGTTGGTGAAGATTCCATATATACATTTTTTGATGTTATCCTCATTGATCCATTCCATAAAGCTATCCAAAGAAATGCTGATACCCAGTGGATCACCAAACCAGCTCATAAGCACACAGGGATGCAAGGACTGATGCCTGCAGGCTGCGAGAGGCCTGGCCTTGGAAAGATTCTCACTGGGTTCTCACCAGGCAGCTTGGAGAAGGAGTGATTCTCTTCTGCTCCACCATTACTGCCAATAATGAGTAATATTTATAAAATTCTTGCCTAATAAACAATTTAGAATAGTCATGTCTACTTAACAGTGTTCCTTAATTTGTTAAAGCTAGTGTCTGCAGGTTGTTTCATGAATGCATTGTCAAATTATGAAAGTTAAAGTGCAGTAATGTTGGAAGACTATAAATGAAGGGTGTCTCTTGTTTCTAAGATAAATGTTTTATCTTATTGGGGAGTTATATGTCAGTGTTTAAAATGCTGTTTAGTATAATGGGGGTAAAATAAAGTCTGTAAAAGAGGAGTACAGAAACTAGCCCTGTAGATTTGTTGATGCATATGATAAAATCTACAGTTTTATTGGGGTGATGCCATGCTCTGCTGGTTTACTCTCGAGTGGCTCTTTTGTGGAGTTGGTGAGAACAAATTTAAGTTGGCTTTTGCTTAAAAAGTGAAGGATATCTTAAATCTTTTTTGTGATCATATGCAGGAAATATGAATATTAATGAGGGCCCACATTTTTAGATTTAGTCCAATACTCCATTTATATAACTGTTGCATCTGAAAAGAGAAAAAAACCACAATTTTAAAAAAGTTAAAAAGCCACCATTTTTAGGAAAATTGAGAAAATTTGTTGCAAGAGTGTTCTCTTATAAATGAAACATCCAGACTAACCAAAACAAAATTGTCTCCATGGTAGCTGTGAAATCACAAATGGTAAAGATTCCTGCTTCATGGGGTATGTAGAATCCTGAATTTTGTTCAAAGTAGCCAGTAATGGTATTTACACTGGTGTATACTGAAAATGATGGAAACTGAACATCAGGTAAAAGAGAAGGAAATTATTAAAATAGGAATGAAATTATTAACTGAAGGATTATAATCCAGTAGTCAGTACTAGAGGTTGGGAAACTGGTAACCATTAGTTACATAAAGAACTTTTAAGTGTGAGGCTAGAAAATTTACATTTGCTTTGATACAAAATTTAAATATATTATCTATTATAATAATTTGTGACCATTAAGACCTGGAGAAAATACAGTCGACTATTTATTTTTAAAAGTTATTTATTTATGCATACAAGAAATGGGGTACAGGCCAGAGATGTGGGGGGGTGAGAAGATTCACCAGAGACAGAGTGGGGAGCAGAACAGGTGGATCTACTGAAATACACTGCTGAGGGGAGCAGGGGTTGAGACAGGAAAGGTCTGCTGTGCCATGTGGGTTGCTCCCTGGCCAGGTATTGAACTCGCACTGCAGTGGCTGCCAATAGCTTGGTAGCGCTGGCTTTAACCCCTGCACCACCAGGGAGGCCCCAGTTGACTTTATTTAAAAGTTGATCCCTGTTCACTCCAATCAGTCTTACAAGTCATCTTGGGTCATCCCACATTATCCACTCCCAAAAGGCTACTGAGAAAGGTCATGTAATAGATGTAGGTGTCAACACAAGTTCATTATTTCCAATCTAACCCTACGTATGTGTGCAGTTATTTTTCTCATTCCTGATCAAACTACCCTCATATCCTCACCATTCCACAAACTTGCCAGGCCACTAATTTTGCCAGCCTTGACATTCTATCACAGTCTGTTGAGTTTATTCTGTTTGCTTCATATCATCCAGTAGATTAGGCTTCTGTTTCCAGGGTGAATTTGACTATGTTGGAAATATAGAAAGGAATTGGCCCAACCCTTTCAATTCTGGATTTACTGATTTAGGAATAGTTAATTTCACAATCTAATTGCTAGTGTCCTTTAATCAACTTTTCTATTTTGTTCAGGGGTCGTAAAAGTCTCAGTTGAATGTTTTCTGGAAAACATGCAATAGGTTCAAAACTTCCTGATACCTAAATTCCTCTCCACTCCAAAAATAAATAAATAAATAAATAAATAAACCATATATTTTGATTGTGTATAGAGATTGTTTGACTAAAGGAATAAATATCTATTCAACTAAAAATACCCCAAAACTTTTGATTTACTGTTTAAACAGAAAAATTATACCCAATAGCCTTAATGTAAAAGATTAGCATTTTGCATATATATTTTTGTATTAAATATAAAATTAAGAAATGAAGACATAGGTTATCTCCAACTTGCTGTAGAGTTTATACTTTAAAATATTTAGATTGAATCATATGAAACTGACATGTTTAAAAACAATTTTTTATTGAACTATCATTGGTTTACATTGCTGTTTGATTTTGGAAAAGTAGGATCTCCCTCTCAGGTGCAGTCACCATAATGTGCCCACCACCAAAGCACCCTTAGTCCTCCACCACAGTCCACTGTGCCCTCCCCATCCCCTCAGATCTATGGTCAGTTTTCAAGGGTTGGTTTTAATATTTGTCTCTGTCTGAACCTTTGTTTGTTTTCTCTATATTCCACATGTGAGACCACCCACTATTTATCTTTCTCCTTCAGGTTCATTTCACTTTACATAATACCTTCCATCTTCATCCATGTTGCCACAAATGGCATGAAAACCTGACATATTTTATATTAAAAATGGTTGAATATCAGCAATTTCAAAAGAACAAGGCTGTATTCTTGAATCACTTGATTGGAATGTAAAATGATTTCCCCCCCCCCCATAGAATCAGTGTGATAAAGTCTGGCTAAGTTTCCAGATAAAGCTCATAGACAGTCATTTAATCTACAATGTAAGTAAGCTATTTACTACTAATGATATAAAGCTAAACTGCTATTTACAGTAAAATCTCAATCAATTTCAATTGTAGAAAAGTCATTCTGGATGAAAGTTTTCTTGGTAATGTTGAGTGCTGAAACCTTATTTCAGTTATTTTGGATGGAAATTAGTTTACAATATGTGATTTATTGAATATGTGGAAGACATATGATGTGTGGAAGACATATGATATGTCTTCCACATATAATATGTCATATTGTATGTCATATAATATGTCATATTATATGATCCTGATCCACTATGTTTCTGAGAT